AAGATGAAATTGATGAGTATTATCAGACTTTGAGGTTACACAGAGACACGAAGGCCATTTTTGGTGCACTATTGTTGGAGGGCAACTCGTTGGAATTGAACCCTTATGGGGTTCCAAGAAGATACCACTAGGGGGATATGCATTCGTTAGCACATCTGGTGCTTCTTTTGGTGTTGACAAACATCAAGCCTAAGTCGTATACCTCCACTATAACCATTCCAGTTGCACACTTGGTTCACAACATTTTGATTAATACTCAGATTGATGTAGCTAGGATTATCGCTGATGAAATGCGCGCTGTTGTTGAGAGTGAACTTAGATCCGGGTCGCGAGTTAATTTCCCCTAAGTCTTCCCATGTCTAATCATGGTTTTGTACGTGAATTTGAGGGTGAAGTTACCCTCTCGCCGCCAAGTGACGATCCCAACTGCTATTGATGGTAATTATGCAGATAAGTTTTGAAGGCCGAAGGGCATGAGAAGAAGACAAACTTCTGGGTCTGATGTTGGTGTTGGTACAGGTTCAAGAGTTGGCGAGGCTTCCGGTTCTGGAGTTACAGGCTCCCAGGGCTTTGACCCATTCCAGAGGGATATTTGTAACTATAACTAGGAGTGGATAGCGACAACTCAGCGTGCCATGATAGATATACATGACTCTATCCAGGTGTTACAGCTACAATACAGAGAGCCTTCTGTGGAGCGCTTGATGAAGACTAGGGAGCAGTTCCTAGCTCATGCTGGTTGGCCTGAGGCCAGGCCAAACTTTGGAGAGGGGGAAGGTGTAGCTGATCCTGGTGAGGCAGATGATGCTGAGAATACTTGAGATGACGAGGAGGTTGGTTATGATGATGACTCTGGATATGCAGAGGAGGTTGATTTGGATGAGGAGACCGACTCTAATGAGGACTTGTTTTTGTTGTTGGATATTTTGAGCATGGTCTTAGGCTACTTCCTTTGGTTCTAAAAAGTGAAGTTTTCTGTTAGCTTAGATAATTGCTATATTTGTTTTTATGTTTATTGTATTCTCTTTTGTATTGTATAATATCCACTTAGTGGATTATTTTGGACAATGTTGTTTGTATGTACCAATTTTGGGTACTAGTACTTTTGTTGGTGTTTTGACACCATAACATTTTAATGTTATTCTCGGTTGAATTCTTCAGTTCGCGAATGTTCAACTTTTGTTTATTTACTTTATTTTTCTTTTATTAGTTGTTTAAGAATTGAATTCTTCAATTTAGGAATGTTCAACTCTAGTAGTTTTCTTTATTGTTGGTAGTGTGCTTTCTTTGAATTTAATGTTTCCCTTTTGTGGTGATTAAATGTGAGAACTTCTAGATTGGTTGCTATTTGCTAAAAGTATCTAATGAAGATTCTTTCAAGTTTGGATGGTGATGATAGTATTTGATCATGTAAATGCTGGTAAGATACATGGTTACCTCTTTCTAGGATGCTAGAATATTTAAGATTTTTTTCTTTGTGCAAATGTAATTTTGTTTCATTTTGAACTTTTATTTGAATGCTTGTATCACTTAGATTTCAATAGCCACAAATTTGTGAGAAACCTTCATTGTTTACTAGTGCATAGGATGATTGATAAATCTTGTGGAATACATTTAATTCATGCTTAATCTTGTGATTATTTTGATTTTGTGGAAGCATTAGATATAATCAAGGAATTTGTTGATAATGAGCACAACCATATCCAAAAGTAATTTACTCGTGAGTAATGAGAATTTGCTAACTCCTCTGAGCTTAATAGTTTAGATCTTAGTTTAGTGATGAACTTGGTATTTGTACATAATTTGAAAGATAGTTCATCATTGAATTTTGTAGGATTCTAAATTTTTTTCTTGAACCTTTGAAATTATTCTAAATTGTCTTCCTTGCCATGAAAACTAAGAAACATTCACTTAAGGTTTGGTTGAAACCAAGTTGGGGAGAGTGAAAAGGAAAGTGGTAGGTTACTCAAAATTTTGAAAAATTTCAAACAAGCATTAAAAAGAAAATTGTGAATATGAATGTGAAAAATAAAAGAAAAATATGCTTGTTTGAAAAGAAAAATATATAGAGAATGAAAAATAATTGTGCAAAGGATGTTGGAAGGGTGAACAATAGAGAAAAGAAATTGTTTGATGAAGTTTTCATGTGTACATAACCTTGTATAGTGAATGTTTCTTTTACATTGACAGCTTTGAATCCATGGCCTTATAAATGTCCCTTTATTGTGAAACTAATCAAGATACAACCTTTAAAGACCTTAGTGATCTTCTTGCTTCCCTGAATTCTTTGATGATTGATTTAGATGAATGTATGAATTAGATTGTATTTGCATCATTTGTCAGGTGAGTGAAATTGCCTCACGGTTGCAAATGCATTTATTTCTTCATTCTTATTCGAAGAGGAGTGTTAGAGTGATTCAAGCATGATAATTTAGTTGTTATTTGAAGCATTGCATGATATTTGTTTAAGAACTAAATTCTTTTGCATTGTTCGATTCTAGGAAGTAGTGAACATTGCTTGTATGCATTTGTTGTTTATTTGAGCCATGAATTCATTCTTGGTTTAATTAAATGCTCGAGCAAATCCTCTTGTTTTCAATGAGAGACATACTTTGCTTGAGGACAAGCAACAATCTAGTTGGGGAGAGTTTGTTGAATGTCAAAATTGCTTTAAATTGATCCTTATTTATTGGCATTTTTCAACTCTTTTATTATGTTTTGTTGAATTTACTCCATGATATCATGCTATTCTTTAATATTGTTGAAAATACCTTTGGTTGCTTTAATTTGTGTGTTATTGTGCAGAAATTAGGCATAAAAATATCAAAGTGTAATACACAAGTAATTGGACAAGGAAGTCAAAGGAAAAGAAGAGATTCAGCGTGTTCGTTGTGCGAACAGCCAGCGAGGAGTAGCAATAAATGTTCGCTGGGCGAACTCATGGCGAAGCCCTAGCGAACCCTCTTAATTTAGAGGCAGTAAGAAAAGGGGACTAAGTTTACTGGCCGAACTGGTAACAAATGTTCGTTGTGGCGAGGTCTCAGCGAAAGACTAGCGAACCATCCCAGATTTGAGGTAGTAGAAAAAGGACCATAAGTTCACTATGCGAACTTGTAGCGAGATAGTTCGCAGTGCGAAGAATTGCTCACACAACAAACTTTAGATATTTCTTAGGGGTGGTTTAACTATTTAGAGGCACTTCAAGTGCCTAAAAATGTGTTCACTGGGCGAGGAAATGGTTCGCAGTGCGAACATGGCAGATTCCAAAAGTACTATATAAGTACTTTTCACATTTTTTTTGGATCATAACCCATTTTTCACACCAAAACTTCATTTCTCAGCATTTCTCCACCAAAAGGTGATATTTTACAAAATAGAAGCTGGATTCACATCCGAGTTTGATTCTTCGACGTGGATGCTTATTAATCTTCTTCTAAGACTTGTAAAGTAAGCTACCATGATTATGGGTAGCTAAATTTCTTTGTATCAAAGGTAGAGGTAGTCTACCATTAGCTTGTATGTATTTCTTTTGATTGTCTTTGTATGTGAACAAGTGATGATTAACATATGACAAATATTTTTGTTCTTAATGATCCATTCTTGTTTTGTAAAACTCTATACTTAGATTTTGTGAAACTTGACCTAAAATATTCATCTATCGGTTATATATTGGAGAAATCGGTCTAGGTCAATAGTTGCTTTGTGTTGAACTTAAAGCTTACTATATTGGTTGTTATATGGAGAAATCGTGTAGCGATGAATACTGTATTTCTCACGACGCCGCTATAGACATAGAAGGTGTTGAGAGAATGCATGACGATATTAATCAGACCCGACTTCAGATGCAAGATTGAAAGAATATGTATAAGTTAGGATAGATGAAAATTACTTATTATATACTTTGTTAATCAAACTCTTTAGAATTTATAAGATTTGCTACTAAAAACGTGACAATTTTATGAACAAAACTTTGAAAACCCTTTCTCTTGAAACAATAAACTGTTGAACGACAAGCATAAAAATATCTGCAATCCCTATGGAGACGATAACAAAAACCCCTTTTAACTACGATTCGAACACCCCGTTTCTAGACCAAGAATATTCCACGCATTGATTAATCCAGATGAAACAAGAATTTTGTCCAATCTACTACACACGCTGCCGTCAGCCTTTCTCCAGGTGTATTTGCTCCCTATGACCGACAATTCCACTAAATCGAAGTTATCAATAAATTCATAAAAATCATCCATCTCATTAGAACTACTGATACCTGACCTGCTACTACTCTCAATAGAATTCTTAATTGAGTTAAAATCTCCACCAATATACCACTCTCCACTCCCCAACGTATTCTTCTTAACAATTAAATCACTCCATAATCTCCTCTTATTAGCAATCAAACAAGATGAATAAACATTAATAAAGAAACACACCTTATCTTCACAAAGAGCACAGACCTATAAATCCTTCACCTTGAAAATTGAATAATGGAGAAATAATCCCAGACCTCCAGAGAATCAACATACTCCCTGACTGACCAATCGAATCTTTCATCGTCCACTCAACCTCTTTGCTATCCCAAATACTTTGAGCAATCACACAATCCATTTTCTTCAGTTTCTTCTCTTGTAAAAAACAAATATCTGCTTTCCCATTACGAATCCTTTTCCTCTTCAAAGGATTACCACACCCTCTCACATTGAAAGATACTATTATCATTCAAAACCTTTGATTTTAGACACACCTTAATTCTCACCCTCTTTCTTAAACTTCTTATCGAAAACCACTAATCTCAAGGGTCCTACACCATCCTCCATGACTTTAATCAACACTATATTATAGAAAACTTGATGAAAGGAATTATGATCTATCTACTTTTAATGTCCAAACTCTATACAGCAAAATATCACCATATATAAAAGAAAAGTTTATTTATTTAGACAAACACTAAATAAAATTTCATTTCTTAAATATTTTTTTAACAGGAGTAATTAACATGATTAAAGTGTGTCGGTTATTGAAACCCACTTTCTCTGTGTTTCTTTTCTGCGTTTCCAAGGGACCACTTGCTTCAAGCTGTCACAAATGCTTGCCTGCATGTATAAAACACTCATAAGTTGCGTGCTTCAATATTATATTATAATTATACATATTTTAGCGTTTTTTTATTTATGGAAAAAATATTAAAAAGTTATTTATACTATATTTGAAGTTTATTATTTACACGTAACAAAAGCCAAAAGTTTTAATGTTTTTTCTAAGGCCAGATAGTGAAAGTCATTTCTTTCGGTGCCCAACTGTTGTTGATGTTTCATTACTTGGACTTTTTTCCCATTATTTTCATGCAATATTTTATAAAGTTGAAAAATAAAAACAACAAATATTATGGCTTGGTTTGGTTTGTAGCCAGCCACCTGGAATATAATATATACATTTAGTCAAACTTCACTTTTGCACATGAATATTAGCTGCTCATTAGCTACTATGCATTATTATTATTATTATTATTATTATTATTATTATTATTATTATATAATACTAGAAGGCAACAAAAGAAGAAAAAATGCATAAGAAAACTGTGACGAATACTACAAGTCAAAGATATATATTTTAACTTTTAACTTTAAACTGTATCGTGACCATTATTTCGAAGTGCTAAATAAAATGACGTATATATTGAACCTAGCACAGTCATGTTACCTCCAATTTGTCATCAGTCATTTAAGAAATTTTATTTAAAATTAAATAGTACTCCTAGTACTGATAACCTACCAATTTCTTACTGTATATGAGAAATTAAATGGTATCATACCGACATAATTGATAGCAGGTAAATTTGCATGGTCCACAATTAGCCCAACTCAAATAGTTACTAAAAGGAAAAAGACCAGGTAAAAGAAACAGAGTTGTAATAAGGATCACAATAAATTGAATCAATTCCAATAATTTATGATTCAAATAAGTTGAAAATTAATTTTATTAATTAAATTTATATATAGTTTGGCTCATTCAATTTATTAGTTAACTTGAATATATATATATATTTCACTTTTATGTTAATTACTCTAATTTATTACTAAAACTTAGTTCAGTATCATCTACTTTTTTTTGGCGTACGAGTTGATAATTTTTTGTTAATTAATATATATGAATATGAAGAAAAAAATTCATAATCATTTAATTAATTTTTATATAACAAATATTGATAATATAAAAGAAGTTAAATACATTTTAAGTCTCAAATTTTTTTGTTTGTTTGAAGCTCCTAAATTTAAAAGCCTAAAACCATACAAGTGTTATAATTATAATGACTCAAAAATGAATACAAGAACTACAAACAAAACTTGAAACAATTATAGAGACAAAACATATTTAACAGAAAAACACATCACTAGTTTTAGTTTTCAATAATTTTCTCCATGTTCATCATATATAGAAAATAAAAACTCTCAATCATTCATAACAACAACTTGATGATAATAGATAGTATTAGTAAAACATTTGAAGATTATTTCTTGATATTATTGATTATTGAAGAGTGAAAACAACATTAGAGATAATTATGACTTACCCACAAATGTAATTTGGCCTTAGAAATTGGACTTCCACCTTTGGCAGTGCGTGGGATCTTAACCTTAGTCTGATCTGAAAAGTCAAAACTACCCTCATCTCCCTCTTTGTTAATCTTCTTGAAACCACTCCACGTACTAGACCCAAAATTGGAATTCCAGTTTTCCCTTGGAGTTCTATAAGAAGACGAGAATGACATGGCCCGGCCCACGTAAGGCCCATCTAAGACCGTTGTCGGGGAAGGATCATCGAGCTTGGCCTCCAAAAACAACAACCTCGGAGGAAGTTCCAACGTTGTTCTAACGGTATTTTCGAGCTCCGATTGTGTGTGGTAGCGCCTAGGCTTCCCGGGTGCTTCTTCCCACTTGAAAGGAATAGAAATCATGGTTTTATATGGTGACGTGGCAGTTTCCGATGACATTGTTGGTTATTGATTTTCTCAGTTGTGGTATATGGTGGTAGTGATAGTAGTGGGTGTGCGTGGGGGGCTTTTAAATAGAGGGAAATTATATGGTCAACAAAGTTAAGAAAGAGGGTTTAACTTTTTTGGTTTTGTTTAGTAAGGTCGTTTGAAAAGTAAAGGAGATGAGATAAATTTGTCTTTGTTTGATTTGAGATTCGTAGAAGAAAGGGAATGGAATAGCCCCACTCGGTCCCAATTATAAGGTAATAATAATCTATCTAGGAAAGGACAATTTTCTTAAGTTTGTTGACCATATTTTTACTTTTATTTCAACTCTAATTACCACTAATAAAAAACAATCACACACATTATTAATCTGTCACCCCTAATTATACCTCACATACAATCTTTTCATTTTATATAAAAAGATAAAATTGATTTTGCAAAATAGTTTTCTAAAATTTTAAATTTATAAAACTGAGACGGAAATTTGAAAAATCAAGAGTGATATCAAAAATTTAGAAATCGGTAAGTTTTTCAACGGAAATTATAAAATTTATAGTATTTTGTATTGGAAATTTGAAAATTTTCAATATTTTCTATCGGTAATTTCATAATTTTTGGTATTTTTCTATTAGAAATTTTAGAATTTTGATACACAATCCATTATTTTTATCGGAAAATTTTGAAATTTCTAATAACTACAAAACTCTAGTTTTGTACTGAAAATTTTAAAATTTTCGATACTTATAAAAAACTAGTTTTATACCGAAATTTTTTTTGGTAGTTGGCATTTTTTTCCACTATTTATTTTTTCCTAGTGAAATCTAGAAGCAGAGACTATACTATTGCATGGAGAGTTGGAGACCGAGCAGCAGACTATGGTAGGGCTGATAGAGGTGCTAATGGTGAGTCTTCCTAACTACGGGCAGGACGAGTAGTCTCCATCGGTTCACGCCAGAAGCTTGGCTGAGCGGGGTCATTTCCGGGCAGCTTGTTCCACACGACACTGACCAGTTAGATCAGTAGAGTAGGCTACAAATGAGGTGCTGCCATATGTTCCTGTATTTGATCCCGTTAGTGAGCCGGTTGCCCAGGAGGTTGTAGATGAGGTACACCCAGATGCTATTGTGGGTGAGTCGGGGCCATCGGTTACTGCTGACACGGAGCTTATGGCTCCTTCGATTGAGCCCTCTGTGCACACTGATGGATGTTTCCTAGAAGAACCCATCGACCAGTTTATGCTTACAAAGTATGTTGAGCATGTGGCTTTACGATTATGGTAGGGCGAGGTGTATGTTCTTTATATTTTAACTTTAATTTTTGTTTATGCATGTCTGAAACATGATGTATCAACTAATTTGTTTATATTTTGTTGCCACAGGAGCGAGCCACACTAAAGGTGACATCCCATGGGTCGAAGATGAAGGACTTCCCAAAGATTTCAATGCCTGAGCATGTCAGTCAGATTTTACGAATATCATTTCTAAATTATTATTTCTTGTTTATGTGTTTTGATCTTAGTGCTGAATATATGAGCATTTTCTTACCATCTGTGACAGGAGGGTGCAACATTGCGAGGTAAAGCCCCCCACAGGCGAAGAGAAGGAAGGTGAGACAGGCACATCCTGGTGGTGTTGCTGAGTAAGGGATGAGGCTTGATGCGCTTACTATAAATGATGTCATCTAGACACTATACACTGGTCATAGAGTCCACCGTGAGTTCAAGGATTCGTCGTTATATTCAAGTTATATGCGGTGGAAGACCATGGTTGCTAGACACTTGCCTGAGAGGTGTCTGCGAAAGTATGGCTATGTTCAAAGTATTCAACGACCAGTTCCAGATATACCAACTTCAAGGGTTGACTGGTGGATTTAGAGTAATTTCATCAACTCTGGTCGGACCATTAGAGATCAAGTCGTCATTGTTCAGCACTCCTCGCAATGTGAGGATGGTTATTTAGATTGGTATTTAACTGTATCAGACCCTCACATCATTTCACCTCCAGCTAATGTAGTTGGGCCTTCTGATGACTGGGTACCTGTTGATGACGTGTCATTGCTGCCTCCTCTAACAGATCACACTGATGACTAGCAACGCCTCCAAATGATTGTAATTATTATAGATAACCTCATGTGTTTGGTAAACCCAAATAGTGAGGTTTATAGTGGATTAGCTCATACTGCACACATAGTCCATGAGGGGCCTATTTAGATATATTTTGTAGTATTTGTATGAGTTGTATATTATTCATACATCTTCATCATAATACTTTATTAGCTAATATTATTGATCTTCCTTAAATTGCAGTGTGAACGTTAACTACATGACAATTTAAGTTAAACAGAAAAACTTAACACTACAATATAATCAATAAATAAGAAAGACCTAAACACTACCATACGCTTCACGTCATTTCAGCATCTCCATTATGTCGTCAACGGATCTTGAAAGTTTAGCGTCTACCTCGATCGACCCCTTTGTTATCCTACGGAAAAATGATCTCTATATTTCATTCACATCATCGTCGGTCTTCAACTCAATAAGGTTGTATTTCACCCTCCCGTTAGTATCAATCCAATCTTCATGAAACCCGATCTTTCTCACCTTTCTGTTTTCACCATCAGACAACAATTCATTCAACTTCAACGCTAGGCAATCAAAAGATATGGTGTCATCAGGAAGCCAGAACTCTACAAGAGGAGAAGCTATGTTGAAGTACACTTCTGCCTTAATAAAAAATTGAGGAGGATGCATTTTTTGAGATGTGTTTATCAACAACATGTGACCCCTCTATTTATACAACTTTGTATTTATTCTGGACCACGCAAATTTTCGGTGCAATAACAACCATCTAAAATTATTGGCAAAATCCTAATCATCCAAAAATAAAATAATTGAAACTATCGGAAGTTTCAATTAGGGTGAAATTTCCGGTATCCAAAAATCTTGATGTGAAAAATTATGGCAAATGGTGCGAGAAAATAAAAGTGTTGTTTGGCTACCAAGATGTTCTTAAAGTGACCAAGAACGAGGTATTTCCTCTTGTTGAAGGTGTAATGGATGCACAACGAGCAGCACATAAGGAAGATAAGAAGAAAGATTTCAAGGCGCTGTTTTTGATCCATGAATGTGTGGATGGTGTAAACTTTGAGAAAGTTGGTGATTATGAATCATCAAAGTAAGCGTGGGAGATCTTTGAGAAGACATATGTAGGGGCTGACAAGGCAAAGGTGGTGAAGCTACTAACTCACAAGCGTTAACTTGAATGAATTCAAATGGACGAAAATGAGACAATCAACAATTTTATAACGAGAATCATACGATTGGTGAATCAAGTGAAGACATGTGGAGAAAAAATCACAGAGCAGTATGTTGTCGTGAAAATCTTGCGTTCTTTAACACCAAAATTTGACCACATGGTTGTAGTGATTAAGGAATCGAAGGATCTTGCGATGATGAAAAAACATGAGTTGCAAAGCTCTCTTGAGGCTCATGAGTAAATTATGGAGGAGAGAAATAATGATAAGGTAAAGGAGGAGATTGCTTTGCAAGCTCCTTTCAACAAAAAGGACAAGAGATCGAAAGAAAAATAACCAATGAAAAAGTAAAGGTAATTTTCATAATTTTGGTGGAAGAGAGTCCTAAAATTCTAATAATTCGACTTGTCAAATGGGTGAGATAAGTTGCAATGAAATTGGTTGTCAAGGAAACTTTAGAGGTGAAAAGAAGAGGTTTGGAAAAAGTAGATAACAGTGTTTTATGTGTCAAAAGTTCGATCATTTTACAAAAGAGTGCAATGCGAACAAGAAGGAACCTCAAGGAGATGAAGTAAAGTTTTCAAGACAAGAGTTTGATGAAGATAATACACTCTTGTTCGTGATCACAAAAGGAGAATGAAGCAGCAACAGGCTGTGGGATAACAACAACAGTCTAGGAATGCTGCAAAAACAGGTTGTAACTGGTTACATGAAAGCGTTAACTGGTTACATGCAGAATAAAATGTCACGGTGACTGTGAGAGAATGAGTCCATTGCAATAAGGAATGGTATTTGGACTTAGGGTGCTCTACTTATATGAAGGGGATGAAGGATTGGTATATTAAAATCAATCGTACGATAAAGAACAAAGTGAAGTTCGCGGATGACACCACTCTAGCAGCCGATGGAATCAGTCACATTTTAATCATGAAAAGGGATGATGGACATTTCTTGATTAAAGATGCATTGTACATTCTAGGAATCAAATGTAACCTTCTAAGTATTATTCAATTGCTTGAGAAGAGTTATAAGATTCACATAGAAAACGAGGGGATGCACGTTATGGATGAAAACAAGGTTTTGGTCCTTAAAGCTCTTATGGCTGCCAATTGAACCTTTAAGGTTGAGCTGAAGGTTATGGAGAATAAATTTCTTGCTATAACGACAAGTCTAGAATAATGGATATGGCATTATTGACTTGGGGTTGCCATTGTTCAACATACTGGCTAAAATTTGTGAAGAACGTGTGAAGGCAAAACAACATAATGATAAATTCAGCAAGAATGAAGGTTCTAGAACCAAGAATCACCTTTGGGTGGTGTATTTGGGTGTGTGTGGACTGATGCAAGTAAATTCTATTGGTTCCAATAGATATTTTGTCACATTAATCGACTATCATACTAGAAAGTTATGGACATACCTAATCAAGAGAAGGAATAGGTATTTGAAGTGCTTAAGAAGTTCAAGTTAATGGTTGAGAGGAAAAGCGGTCACAAACTTAAAATGCTCAAAATAGATGGTGGAGGTTAATATCTCAAAATACTTTGAGAGTTTTTGTGATCAAGAAGGGATTATACGTGAGGTTGTACCACTTTATACATCGCGGTAAAATGGTGTTTCCGAAAGGAAGAATTGATCGATCATGAACATGGTGAGAAGCATGTTAAAAGGGAAGAACTTGTCAAAATTGTTATGGGGAGAAGCGGTATCCAGGGTTGCTTATTTATTGATTAGGTGTCTAAGAAAGAAGCTTGAGA